TTATGAGTAATTGTGTAAGAGAGTAGAAAAACAGTGTTTCTCTTTATAGCTGGTCATAGCTGTTGTAGATGAATTTTTTTGTCTTTGTTTCTGTTTTAAATTTTTGTAGAGAAGGCGGTCTTGCTTTGTTGCTCAGGCTGGTCTTGAACTCCTGGGCTCAAGCAGTCCTACCACCTTGGCCTCCCAAAGTGCTAGGATTACAGGTATGAGCCACCATGCCCTGCCAAAGCTGTGTTTTAAAAAGAGCCATGTCTGCATAGTAGATTATAAAAAGGGGTAAGAGTGGAAGCAAAGAAACCAACAGATAATAGATGCTAGTGGCGTGGCTAAGGTAACAACAGTGGTAATGGGAGAAAACTAGATGGATTCAGGGACATATATTTGAAGCTGGAAACACTTGTTGATGAATTGAGAGGGAGTGAAAATCTGCTGGGTCGGGGTGAAATAAATCATTATCACAGGTCTGTCAGGAGCTTCTGTGTTGCAGGAATGCCTGAACCAGGGATTGAGTCCCTTCTGCCTGTGTATTTTTTAATTGAAGTCATCTTTGTGCAATTATGGTTTATTTCTTGCCCCTGACTCTTAAGTGTAATTGGGCAAGGAAGGCATATGGTTGATCCATTCTTGTCTCTTTAGTCCTCCCCCAACTTCTCCCAGCATGGATTTACTAAAATCTGACATTCCCATCTAATTTCAAGGAGATTAAAAGATAACATATTCCCTCCTTGAATAAGAGTGGTTATAAGAAACCTTTGAGCTTCTCACAGTGCCCCCTTGTTTCCTTGTCTCTGGCCTTAAAGACCTTATCTCAGCTGGGCGGACAGCTACAGTTTTCCCAGTTGAGGGCACAACAAGGACTTGTGTTGACTTGTGTTTTGTTGGGCAGTGAGGTTTTATGTAGAATCAGGTTTAGATAGCATTGCCTCCTCTCCCTGCATTGTGTGATGGGCCCCAGATAAGTTGCTTTCATTAAGCTGTGGTGTTTGCCTTTTCTCTTGATCTCCTCTTGAGCCAGTTTGCAAATTCACTGGCAGGTTAGAGTGGTGTATGCTATCACACCTGGCTTATTTTTTGATTTATTGTAGAGACGAGGTCTCACCAAGTTGCCCAGGTTGGTCTTGAACTCCTGAGCTCAGGCAGTCTTCTTGCCTCGGCCTCCCAAGTGCTAGGATTACAGGCTTGAGTCACCATGCCCGGCCTGAGGTTTTTATTTAATCAGGAACCTCTATAAGGAGAAAGATGGAAGTTACTTTTAGCAACTGTCATTTCCTTCTCTTACTTGACACTACTTCTGAACCAAAAAACACTGAAACCAGGTTGGAGCATTTGTAAAAGGGGAAATCCCCCCAAAACTGGAATTATCTTTTGGAGGGTGGGCCCCTTGGAGTACAGGCTTCCCCCACTAGGTACGTGTTCTGGGAACCTATTCGCATCAGTGTACAAGCTAGCATTGGCATGAGAGCCTGCGCTTGGCTTCAGTGAACAAAAATTTTTTTGGGAGATTCTTGTTTCTCTGATGAAAAAGTCCTCAAAGGGAAACATTTTGCCGACGTGAAAAAGGCAAAACACAAAATGGCAAAAACACTAAAAGGTATCATGAAGAGTTAAAAAACTGTTTTGAGCAGTGAAAGAAGCATCTCGATAGGTGTATTGCATCAGAGTATTTTGAAAGTGAAGTTTAAATATGTAAGAATAAATACACAATTTTAAATAAATTTGGGGGTTTTTTAAAGTCTTGTATGTAATACTGTTTATTTTGTGTTCTTGAAGTTATTCTCTGCAGAGTATCTGATGCAACAAATTTGTCCTTGCTTGGCAATTCCTAACACAGCCATCTTAGCCAAGCCTGAATGTCTCTTAGCTGTGTAGCAATTTCCCAGAAAGAGAGTTACAGAGACAGCTTCTCACTTGCTTGGCCCTTGAGTCCAGACATGTTTCTTTAGGAAGACAGGTGGCTCTTTCCAAGTTGCTATCCTGTACATCTTGAGGACTGTGAGAAGAGATAAGAAGTAGAGAATGACCATTGCAGAATCATGAGATCTGGAATCCTGTTAGTCAGCAGAGAATCCACTCTCTGGTGCTTGCCCAGCTGGCTTGCGTCACACTCTCTCTGGGGGCAGGCAACCTGTAGCTTCTGACGGGGTGGAAGTGTATCCTTAGCTTTCTTCTTCCTTATTTGGATTAGAAGTCAAACCACCTGGGTGTTGGACTACCTGTGTTCAGTATTCTTGGCACTGAGGATTCATGTGGTGGGATGCAGTGAGGCAAACATTGAGCAGGTGTGCAGAAGGAGGGGTTTTCTTCCCCTAGCCCTGAGGTATTGTGTGTTGGGTGTCTGTGGCTACAAGAGAAAGTGAGATCGGCTGCAGCATTGATAAGTCAGTGGCGTGCTCCTAGGCGCTTCACCCATGAAGGACCTTAGCGTAAACAATGAAAGAGTATTTCCAGCTTGACTTTTTTGTTTTTGTTTTGTTTTGTTTTGAGTTGGAGTCTCACTGTACGCTCACAGCTACCACACCTCAATCTGCTGGACTCAGGCAATCCTTCCACCTCAGCCTTCCAAGTAGCTGGAACCACAGATGCATACCGCCATGCCCGGCTAATTTTTTAATTTATTGTAGAGACGAGGCCTCGCCAAGTTGACCAGGCTGGTCTCGAACTCCTGGGCTCAGGCCGTCCTCTCACCTTGGCCTCCCAAAGTGTTGGAATTACAAGCCTGAGCCATTGTGCTTGGCAGATTAGTTCATCATTAAATTTAATGTAATATGAACAATCATGGTGACATGCACAGAGGTGAGGAATCCTGTTCAGACTGGGGAATCAGGGAAGACCACCCTGGAGAAGGTGATGTTTGAGCTGATTTTTTAAAAGTCAGGTGAAGGAGAAGGAAAGGACTTCAGGGACTAGGACATGTAAAGGCATGAAGATCTGAGATAGCATGATGCATGTGAGGAGTCAACATTCGAGTTGTTTTTTAGGGGGTACCAGCCTGAGTTTTCATTTTCTTAGCTGTTTTCTCCCATCACTTTGGTGTGTCTGTTGTGTTATACTGGGAAACGAGGTGTAGATTCCTGAAAGAGGTCTGAGTTGAGACTGAATCTGAACATACTGATACACACACACACACACACACATATTCTTATAAAGTTCTTGACTGAATTTGACTCTTTACTGTGTGAACATTCTCTACCATAAGTGCACACTGTAATTGTTCCCTGCACAGTATTTCCATGGCTTGAACTTGTGTAAAGGTTCACTTTCTGTCACCTCATTTTGAGGTTATGGGCTTCAAAATCTAGTTTTATAATTTATACTTTTTTTTAGCTTACTACCATTTTGAATATTGACAGTGATGTGCTGTGATTTTTTTTGTACTCTCCTTGAGAAAGAATCCATATAGGTTAACTTTTGCAGGAAGAGAGGACATTACATGACGTCTGCAGGCTGTTTATTGGTGTTGTCCATTCCTGTAGCTTAGATTTTCATTGACCATTATTCTCTTATCAAAATACATGGTTGCCAGACGTAGAGGCTCATGCCTGTAATCCCAACACTTTGGGAGGGAGAGGCAAGAGAACTGTCTGAGCCCAGGGGTTCGAGACCACCCTGGGCAACTTGGGTGAGACTTTGTCTCTACAATAAATTAAACAATTAGCCAGGCATGGAGGTGCACACCTATAGTTCCAGCTACTTGGGCAACTCAGGTGGAAGGATTGCCTGAGCTCAGCAGGTTGAGACTGCAGTGGCCATGAGTGTACCACTGCACTCCAGCCTGGGCGACAGAGTGAGACTTTGACTCAGAACAAACATGGTCTTCTGCCTGTTTTTGTGCTTTAAATGTACCTTGAACAAGAAACCTCTCTGCTAATTTGTTCCCTCTAGCTACTCTGAAAATACTTGATGAGGATGTCAGGATTTCATTCATAGTTATTCCAGAGAATGACTTCTTGTGGACAGATTTTGTGATTTTTCCTCCTGAATGCTGCCTTGAAAGCAGGCCCATTCTTCCCTACAGTTGTAAAAACTGGAGAATATTTTGTGAATTCAATTTAGAAAGTGAGTGACCATGCTGAACAGACTGTTTGAGACCCAGAACAGCAAGACTGGTTCAGAGGTTTTGCATTAAAGGAAACATTCAATGAGAAAGTATAGGAGATAGGCTCTCCTTCCCTTAGATCAGCCCAAACTGAAGCCTAGGCTTTGGAGTAAAGAAAGCTTCTCTTCTCCTCTCCTCTGTGTTCTACTCCTTGAACTCTCCTGTCTCAGTATGGCTGCTGATAAAGCCACTGAAAGTAAAAATAATGTAGTTCCATTTTCTTCTTTTTCCCACCAGCATACAGGATGTGCTTTAAGTCTGTATAGTAAGCAAGATTCTTGAAGAGATGAATTGCTCTCTCAGCTTTAGAACAAACTCCAGGGTCAGCAAAGATACTCTCTGCTTCTGTCTGAACTTGTCCCACTTAACTGTGAGAAGTGGACCAAACCGGAGGCAGCTGAGAGTTGGTTTAAGAAGCAGTAGGTGTAAAATGTGTTTCTCAGATAATCTTTGATCTTTCAGAATTGGTTGGTAATAAGGAAGGTATTGACTGATTTCTGTCCCTTCCAGACTTGCCTCACTCCCAGCCACAGTGGTTTTAGGTGAGGGAAGGTATCCACTCATGTAAAGTCATGGATTGTGAGACAGAAAGGTGTACTTTTCTTTGAAGAGAGAGAAAAACTTTCGGGATGAGAGAGTGGTTACTTGTGAGCAGCCTCACAATGGTGGCTTCTTAAAGTCATAGTCCTGGATGAAGCCAACTTTGATCATACGAGGGTAGTAGGAAGACCACCGAAGACTCCCTGGAGATCCAGTGTTCTCCTCCCAGGGCCCCAAATGATGACCAAGACTGGTTGCCCACGAAAGACTAAAGTGGGACTCTGCTGCTTACCTGAGGACCCCTTCAGCATGGCGTATGTCCTCTTGGTGCTGTAACATTCCCAATTATTCCTCTCCCCTTCAGACTGACAGATTTTAAGGATGCAGCAGCTACTACTGGAGGAGTGTGGCGTCTTGCCTGGGCTAGGCCATGAGGCCATGTGTCTATGATGTGGGCCCCTCATGGCCTCAGCAGGAACAGAAAACTATAGTATTGGCCTCCGCCGGAGAAGCAGCTTCAAGCAGAGCGGTCCCTCAGGCTCAGCGCCTGCCCCAACACCTGAGAAACCCTCTGAGGGTAAAGTCTGGTCTCAGGCTCATCAGCAGGTGAAGCCAATCTGGAAGCTGGAAAAGAAGCACGTGGGGACACTTTCAGCAGGGTTGCACTCAGGCCTCTTGGGTGTTCCACCCCAGCCAGCATACTTCGTTTGCCCCAGCACTTTATGTAGCTCTGGGACCACAACTGTCATTGCAGGCCACAGCAACTCTTGTTATCTGCACTCTCTCCCGGACTTGCTCTGTAGTACCCTGTTGTATTGCCGCTCCAACTGTAGGCACAAGCCGTACCAGCAACTGGAGTCTTTCTGCTTACGTTCAAACCCATCAGAAAAAAGACGTTTTTTTCTCCCTCAGAAGAGCCTTCCTGTCAGTCTCACTGCCAATAAGACCACTTCTTCCATGGTCTTCCCTATGGCTCGGCCCATGGCCTCCTCATCCACAGATCCATACCTCTCCCTGGCAGCAGCTGGGGAAAACCCTTCAGGGAAGAGCCTGGCCTCTGCCATCTCAGGGAAGATCCCATCTCCACTGTCCTCCTCCTATAAGCCCATGCTGAATAACAATTCCTTCATGCGGCCAAATAGCACGAAAGTGCCTTTATCACAGGCCACAGAGAGCCTGAAGCCAGTATCCTCACCCAAGACCCAGTCTGTCTCCTGGCATCATTCGGGGGGTACTGGAGACTGTGCACCCCAGCCTGTTGACCACAAGGTGCCCCAAAGCATCGGCACTGTTCTAGATGATGCCATTGCCCATATCTCCCTGTCTACCCCTAGCTCCCTCAACACATCTACCACCAGTGTTGCCTCTTCCTGGTATAACCGGAATAACTTAGCCATGAGGGCAGAGCCAGGTCCCTGTGGCCTGGATGACAACTCTGATTCCCAGGTTCCAGCTAAAGAGATTCAATTCACTGAGGCTGTAAGGAAGTTGACCACAAGAGGCTTTAAGAAAATGCCAAGGCAAGGCTGCCAATTTGAACAATCTTGTTTCCTGAACCCCAGCTTTCAGTGGAACCTTCTCAATAGGAACAGGCAGTGGAAACCTCCTGTACTAGACCAGCAATTTCCTCAGGAGGATGCTGGATCAGATGGTAGGATCCTCCCTGGTGCCTCAGACACCTTGGAATTGGACAATACAGTCTTCTGCACCAAGCGTATCAGCATTCACCTCCTTGCCTCACATGCCAATGCACTCAACCACAGCCCCACCTGTGGATCTGTAATCGACCCCCTACCATTGGGAGAAGACAAAGCTCCACTTCCACCTTCTCCCTCTCAGTCCCTTGGCATAGCTGATGTGGTCACCCGTCTCTCTTCCATACATCTGGACCAATCTGAAAAGGAGGGGCTGGAGGAGACCACAGAGCTGGACTCACCTGGTAGGGTTATTGGGTAAGTTGCAGAGCACCTTTTCTTAAAATTTTAAAATTGTTTTTATAGATACAAGGTCTCCATGTGTTTCCCAGGCTGGTCTTAAACTCCTGGGCTAAAGCAATCTTTATACCTCAGCCTCCCAAACTGCTGAGATTATAGGCATGGGTCACTGCACTTGGCCCTGGAGAGCATTTTTTGGTTCATTTAGTGTAGTAGAACGTATGTGCCATAATTTGGGACATTGTGCTTCTGAAGGTTGGTTTTATTTTTTTTAGCTGCCCTATAATTTTTTTCCCTCCAAGTCAGGATCTTACTCTGTTGCCCAGGCTGGAGTGCAGTGGCATGATCACAGTTTATCACAGTCTCAATCTCCTGGACTCAGGTGTTCTTTCTATCTCAACCTCCCGAGTAGCTGGAGCTACAGGCGCATGCCACCCTGCTTAGATAATTATTTTTTTTGTAGAGATGACATTTTGCTGTGTTGTCCAGGCTCTCTCCTTGGCCTCCCAAAGTGTTGGGATTACAGGCGTGAGTCACTGCACCCAGCTGCCCTAGAATTTTTGGTTTTTACTTTAGGGCAGGGGGTCAGGAAACTATAGCTTGCAGGCCAAATCCTGCTTGTTGCCTGCTTTTGTAAATACAGTTTTATTGGAATGCAGCCTTGCCCATTCATTTACAGTTGTCTACGACTGCTTTCTTGTTACAGTGGTAGAACTGAGTAGTCGTGACAGACTGAATGGACTACAAAACTGAAAATATTTATTATCTGGCCCTTTAGAGAAAAACTTTGCTGACCTTTGTTTTAAGATAAAACCAGAAGAGAAATAAGAATTACAAACACCAAGTGTTGGGGCCTGTGACTTTCCTACCTTTTCTAAACCAAATCAGATTCCCATTCATTGTTGGCATGACAGCCATTCACATTTAGGGCATATACATTGTAGGTTCCTTTCTATGTTTTGTTATTTTTTTGGAACCTTGGTGCAACAGGGCCTTGTTCTGAGTTCTAAGAGAGTGGTCTAGAGACGTTTGAAGTCAATTCTCAGATATTCATTGATGGCTTTTTGTATGCAGAATTTTGTACTTTTATGCTATGAGGTACATCAAAGAAAATGGAAGATGTAGTGCCTCTTTGTAGACTGGTGGAGGTAAGGTTGAGGAACTATGGTTAGACTATAAGCTTTAAGGGTAAGAGAAATGAATTGTGAGGTCCAGGCAAGAGATAGCAGATTGGTAATGGGGAAGAGACAAATATTGGAAGATAAGAATCTAACTATGACCTCTCTTATGGAGTCGGCTGAGCTGAGGGCATGATCCCTTCTTTTAGTTCAGCTACTGACCTCCAGCCAGACCAAGTTGAAACAGAAGATGTAGAAGAAGAACTAGTAGATGGTTTGGAAGACTGCAGTAGCCATGATAATGAAGAGGAGGAGGGTGAGTAGGAAACTCTTTCACTGTCGTCTAGGGTTGGTCATGACCCACTGGGGAAGGGGCTAACAATTGTGTGTACCAGGTCCATGACTCACATTATCACCTATATTAATTATTTGCTTGGGGGGTTTTAAGGGGATAGTGGCTTCTGAGGGACTTTGGTTTCTAGTCTTCCTGTCCCACTGGTCTTGCCTTCTCTCTACTGCTGTTGAGTTCAAGAAAAGAAAGGCAAGGCAGCAAGGTGGTGCTTATAGCTCCCCAAGAGGGGCTGAGCCCAGGATATTCAAGGAAGAGCTGCCTAGGCTTGGGGAGTTTGTGTGGCAGCCTCTTTCAGTCAGAACTTCTATGTTCTTCCCCCAGGTGACTCAGAGTGCTCCTCGTTAAGTGCTGTCTCCCCCAGTGAGTCAGTGGCAGTGATTTCTCGGTGAGTTTTGGTTGTGTAGATCATTGGTGGATGCTCGTCTTCTGTCTCTTCACGATTATAAAGAGATTAACCACCCAAGTCATAAATGGCCCTGAGAACCCTAATGAGCTTTTAACAAGTTTTTGTTTGCAGCTTTAGTTTTTGAACAGGGAGCAATGGGGGCTAGAAACACATCTTATCATTTGGGTTTAAAAGCAGTACCACACTTCTTAGGCAGCAGTTTGGTATTTAAGTTTCAAGAAATTGGTCAAGTAAAAGTTAAATTTGGCTGGGTGTGGTGACTCACACCTGTAATCCCAGCACTTTGGGTGACTGAGATAGGAGAATTGCCTGAGCCAAGGAGTTTGGGACTAGCCTAGGCAACATGGCAGGACCTCATCTCTACAAAAAATAACCTGGACATGGTGGTGCATGCTTGTAATCCCAGCTGCTCGGAAGCCTGAGGTGGAAGGATTGCCTGAGCCCAGGAGTTCAAGGCTCCAGTGAACCACGATCATACCACTACATTCCAGCCTAGGCAGCAGAGTGAGATCCTGACTCAAAAATTTTAAAATGTCAAATTATTTCAAGAAGTATTTAAAAAATTAATGACCTTCTGCTTTTTGGTAACAGGATAAGCAAAAAATAATGATAACCAATGAATTAAGAAACACGCTGTTTGAGGTGAATTCTTAGTCCTTTCTAGGCCACCTGCATGAGGGTAATTGCTACTTTGAACTGTAAAATGTGTCCCACTATCAGAAACAGTTGTGAGATACCCCACTAATTGGAGCTTTTTAAAATGCTCTTTTGTTCCCTTCTGAGATTAGTTTTATTTTGGGAAATAAGACTGACATTAAAATTAGTAATAAAAAATTAAATAAAAAATTTTATAGCTTTAGGCCAGACATGGTGGCTCATGCCTGTAATCCCAGCACTTTGGGAGGCCGACGTGAGAGGATTGCCTGAGCCCATGGGTTCGAGACCAGCCTGGGCACTTGGCGAGACCTCATCTCTACAATTTAAAAAAAGATTTAACTTATTTTCCTTGATTTTTAGCAGTCTTAAATTCTGATACTCAGTAAATTCAAAGCCTTTGAAGAAAAAGTTTTGGAAATGAGGAATAGAGTTAAATTAATTAGAATTTTTTTCATTGGGAATTAGTATTTAACTTGACCTAATAAAATTTATTAACCATCTTTAAGATTTAAAAAACTGAAATGTGTCATATACAGTGCCTGTTTCTGTTGTGCTGAAAATAATAACAGGTAAAGTGACTTTTTGTAAGCTAAAAATTGATGTTATAATGTTTGTGGATTATATCTACTCAGTTCTAGAGAGTAATAGCTGTTCTCTTCATTTTTCAGTGTTATTTAAAGGAATGGTCACGGTCTATCAGCTTGGATGTGACAGATAGTTGAAGTGTTTGCTATTTGACACCCTTTGAGATAGCCTTGGCCAAACCCTTGTTGAATAACAGTAGAGACCCCCATGGCCCACTGCCCCAGATTCCCAGCCATGTTTATCAGATCCAGATTTGTGTTACCATACAGTTACATAAAAACCCAGTGTCACAGATCATTTCCATATGAAGAGAAGCATTAACCTTCCATGAATCTTTATATGAACTTAAACACAAAAGGAGTTAGTATCATTGTTTTCTTTCTGGTTTTTTATCCTTTTTCTTTTTAAAAGTCTCTACACCTCTTCTCAAATTTTTTTGGTGGTTTTCCTCCTTTATAATTATTCCATTGTTCTTTTTATCTCCTCATTTACTTCTTTGTCTTAGAGTATTGTATTCTTCTACTAGTACCCACCCAAACTCATTTCTTCCTCTCAGAGCCACTCTTTTCAGGGATTTCGCCAGCAATTTTGGAGCTGTATTAGAGAATGAGGTGTTGGAAAACTTTGTCTTTAGGTGATATTTAATGGTGTGACTGTGTGTAGGTTAGCCTTAGCACATTATAGATTAATAATCACAAAAAAACTATTGAGCACTTGTCTTTTTCTAGAATCCAATTTAAAAGACAGCATTCAGAAAGAAAATGTACATAATTTTGACAACACTTCAGGACTGTTGTTTCCTTTTCTCTGCTATGTGTTTGTTTTTCATCTTAGGAACTATGTGGAAATTCTGACCAAAACCCTTTCCAGTCATGAGAAAGTTGTTCGACCAGCCCTCATCTACAGTCTCTTCCCCAATGTGCCCCCTACCATCTATTTTGGCACTCGGGATGAAAGAGGTAAACCCAGTGTCAAAGCCCACAAGAGCCCCAGGAGAAGGTGGCTAGCTAAGTTGGGAGGAGGTGGCAACAGGTGGGAGAGGGTTTCCAGAATGGCTATGGCAGTTGTCAGACTACTCAGTTCCCCATGTTGTCATAGGTCCAGTGTAACCTTTTTCTTGTCTCTCCTTTAGCTGACCCTACTCAGATGCATAATCTCACGCTTAGTTCATATTCTCTAACCTTGTTGCTTTCTCCTTTCAACCCCTTTGCTCTTTGCTCCTCATTCCTACACAGCCCCCTTTCTTCTGTGTGCTCCTCTGAAACCCTGATCTGGAGCAATAGTTGGTGACCTGCCTATCCAGGGAGGGAGGGCAGCAGTGTCATCTATTTTGTCTTCTCACCATGACTTTTCTTTTCCTCTCCACCCTTCATTCCCCCACCTTGTGCATTTCCCTCAGTGGAGAAGCTTCCCTGGGAGCAGAGAAAGCTGCTTCGGTGGAAGATGAGCACAGTGACCCCCAACATTGTCAAGCAGACCATTGGACGGTCCCACTTCAAAATCAGCAAAAGTGAGTAACTTGCCTTGCTGTACATCTACCTGTCGCTTTGCCCCAACAGATGCGTTTTGGAGAGAGGCAGTGCCCTAGCTACTTCATGTTATGTAGGGACAGCTGGGGACCCTGTCTTGACATTTACAACCTCATAGGAGGGCACAACTCTGAAAGCCCTCTGGGCTGAGCTTATTGTTCAAAATTGGGAGACAGAGGGCCATTGTTCTGTCCCTAGTCACAAGGCCTCATGTAGGACAGCTCCATGGCAACTCTTTGAAAACTGAGTCTGGGAGCTGTGCCCAGGCCCAGTGGTATTTCTGGTGGAGCCTCTGGGCCCCTCTATGTCCTAGGGACTGAGCTCCTAGCAGGACTGACTTCCTGATATGCCTTCTACAGGAAACGATGACTGGCTAGGCTGCTGGGGTCACCACATGAAGTCTCCTGGTTTCAGATCCATTCGAGAGCATCAGAAGGTAGGGACACTTTCTGAGGAGCTGTTCCCCTGGACTTTGGACTAGACCGGAGGAGGGTGGTGCTGGGGGTGGGGGACAGGGTTTGGGAAGACAGGGATGGCCACTGAAACATCAGGAAGGTTTATGGAGGAGAAAGTACCAGAGGGGAGTGCGGTGTGAGACCCTAGTGGATCGTGAACTCTCCAGTTCAGCTGCAGTGTCAGTTGTAGCCTCTGAAAGCTTTTTCAGCTGAGTACCATGGTTCATGCCTGTAATCCCAGTTCTCTGGGAGGCAGGAGGGTTGCTTGGGCTCAGGAGTTCAAGACCAGGCTGGGAAACATAGCAATCTTATTTCTATAAAAAAAAATTAGCTGGGCATGGTGACATGCACTTGTAGCCACTTGAGAGGAGGGGGTGGGAGGATTGGCTGACCCCAGGAGGTCCAGGCTGCAGTGAGCTGTGATAATGCCACTGCACTCAAAGTACAGTGAAACCCCAACTCAAGTGAGTGAAAAACCCCAACTCAAGAAAAAAAAGTTACTTTTTTTCTCTAATGTGTCTTGAGGTGCATTGTCTGTTTTTAGTTTATTATGTTTCCCCTATAGCCACTGCACATTGCCTCTATTCCCAAGCTGAACACGTATAAAGAGGACTTCTGGTCTTATGTTGGAATGAATGAGTCCCTTGCCCCCAAGAGTCCCTTGTCCTCATCCCGTGTTCTGTCATGGAAAAAGATTTAACAACTTTTTTTTTGCCCTTAAGGTGAATATCCGATCTTAATCATTATTATATTTTGTTTGTGTCTTAATCATCTTTTGGTGAGTTGCTTAGCAGTTGTTTACATGAAGACCATTAGGTAGTGATGGTAAGGTAGAACAGGAGCTTGGAATGCTACTAAGGAAGTTGGAATGTATATTGAGTCTTGTCATCTTCCTCATGCTTCCAATCTTTGTCTTTTCTGTAGCTAAATCACTTCCCAGGCTCATTCCAGATTGGGAGGAAGGACAGGCTGTGGCGAAATCTATCTCGCATGCAGAGCCGTTTTGGCAAGAAGGAATTCAGTTTCTTCCCCCAGTCCTTTATCCTGCCCCAGGATGCCAAGCTCCTACGCAAAGCCTGGGAGAGCAGTAGCCGCCAAAAGTGGATTGTGAAACCAGTGAGTGGATTATAGCGGGCAGGAGACTATGGTCTGAGAGTGAGAACAGCAGAGTATTGGGCCCAGACAAAGCTCGTCTCCTTTCCACTTTACTTTTAGCCGGCATCAGCTCGAGGTATTGGCATCCAGGTCATCCACAAGTGGAGTCAGCTCCCCAAGCGAAGGCCTCTCCTAGTACAGAGGTGAGCATATCTCTAGTGCACAGCACCTCTCCCAACCTCCCCACCTCCTTGCCCTCAAGGTTTCCTTCTTACAATGTTATTCTGCTCTTTGTCCTCCCAGCCAAAGACCTTCCTTAGCCAACTGTTTTAAGGTCTTTATCTTGGGGACTTTAGCTGGCTTTTGCCTTAGCTCGATTATACACTGAGCCATATCATCTGGCTGGATGAGAAGCTGGCCTTTCCCTATGTAGGTATCTACACAAACCCTACCTCATCAGCGGCAGCAAGTTTGATTTGCGGATCTATGTTTACGTCACTTCGTATGATCCTCTACGGATTTACCTCTTTTCAGATGGACTTGTCCGCTTTGCCAGTTGCAAGTATGTGATAGTGGTGAGGTATCACTGTGACAGTAATGGGGATTTTATTTTCCTCAGAGGGAGGGACACTAGAGGACATCAAACAGAAAAATAACAAATGTTTTGGTCATTTTTGTCAGTGAAGGGGAAGGCAGAGAATGGGAAATAAGGAGGTTCTTTGCTCTTGAATTGGGGGACGGTCTTCCTGCAGAACTGAGATGTAGGATAAAGGAGATGAGTAGCTGGACGGTCTTCCTGCAGAACTGAGATGTAGGATAAAGGAGATGAGTAGCTGTGGTTTCTAGAATTGTGCTTACAGATACAGTCTCAGACCCTGTGGATCTAAAAAGATCTGTGTATTTGTCCTTTACTTCTTCAGGACTTGGGGAAATGATAGGCTTATTCTCTTATCTGCTTTCTCATCCTGCCATTCTTTCTCCTCACTTGCAGGTATTCTCCTTCCATGAAGAGCCTTGGCAATAAGTTCATGCACCTGACCAACTACAGTGTCAATAAAAAGAATGCTGAGTACCAGGCCAATGCAGATGAAACGGCCTGCCAGGGGCACAAATGGTACTGAGGAGAGAGTGTCCCAGTTCACTGAAGGCCTAGAGGAGTACAGGGTTCTGGGGCTTTGGAAGGTTCAGAGGGAAGATGAGGAGGATTAATATAAGACCTAAAGATTATATAAACATTTGTCAATTCAGAATTGGTTCGTTTGCATCCAAGTTAATTTCTTTTTTAATTCAGAATGTCAGAGGAAGAGATGAAAATGCTTTAGGTCTCTTATTCCTTTTTCTTTCTCTTTTCTTCATCGCTCATTCCTAGACTATAGCCCCAAGTACTCCCTCCTCCTCCCTCTGCAGGGCACTGAAGGCTTTGTGGAACTACCTGAGCCAGAAGGGAGTCAATAGTGATGCCATCTGGGAGAAGATAAAAGATGTTGTTGTCAAAACTATCATCTCGTGAGTCATTACTGCCACTCTGGGTGAGGGACCTGCCACTGAACCCTTCCTTTCTCATTGGCCTCTACACTGCTGTGCCCCAGACTTTGACTGGAGATTTGACTTTGTTGAGGTTCTGTTTTGAGGACAGGGTATACGAAAGAATGACTAGAGTTAAATTCCACTTGTCTACTGAACTTAATCCCCAGAAACTGGTCCCAGATCAGAGATGTCTCTTGAGAGCCACTGTTTCTGGGCTGCTTCTGCCTGCCTATCTCTAGACCACTCTGCTGGAAGGGCAGCTCTGGGTAGGGCCCTCTGGGAGGAGCTGACCTAAATATTTCCTTTTCCTTATGACCAGGTCAGAGCCCTACGTGACCAGCCTGCTCAAGATGTATGTGCGGCGGCCCTATAGCTGCCACGAGCTCTTTGGTTTTGACATCATGCTGGATGAGAACCTCAAACCCTGGGTCCTGGAAGTCAACATTTCCCCGAGGTAGGTGGTATTCTCAGGTCACTTACAGACAGTAGAATCCTTCTTAAATCCTCATGATCCCATTGCTGCTCCAGTATGTTGTTGCTTTTGAGTCGATCCCTACCACTTGCTCTTCTCTGGCATGCCAAGGTCATGGGCAGGTTGACCGCCCTGGGTGAGGATATTTACTTTGTTTGGGACCAGAGACACAATGATGATCATGCATTTGGATGTTTGAGCACTTTTCATCTTAGGGAAGTCAAAGGGTAAATGGGGCTAGCCCTGACTCGGACATATAACCAGAAACTGTTTTTGGAGTGCTGCTCTGACTACTCTTTGTATCCTTTCCCTGAAGCCTCCACTCCAGCTCACCACTAGACATCAGCATCAAAGGCCAGATGATCCGTGACCTTCTGAACCTGGCAGGTTTTGTCCTGCCCAATGCAGAGGATGTCATTTCAAGTCCCAGCAGCTCCAGCAGCTCCACTACCAGGTTAGCCCTCTTGCTTCCTTGAGGCTTGGTTGGCAGCAGGAATGGCCCCAGTGTGATTTCTGGGCGGGGGAAGGTTCTGCGCTTTTCCTCCTGCCTGGTCTCCCTTGCTGCTCAATCTGCTGCTATAGGCCACTCGCACACCACTGCCATGTCAGTGCCCCTAAAAGTATGTTTAGTTATGTTGCTCCCCTGCTCAGAAACCACAGGGCTTGGGAATCAAATATAAACACTGTCAATAGGGGCGCGTTCCTGTAGTCCCAACTACTCGGGAGACTGAGGCAGGAAGATCACATGAGGCCAGGAGTTTGAGGCTGTAGTATGCTATGATGGTTATGCCTGTGAATAGCCATTGCACTCCAGCCTGGGCAACATAGTGATATCCTGTCTCAAAAAATTAAACTTCTTACCTGGGCATTGGAGGTCCCAGTCTCCTGTCTCTAGGCTTTTCTCTTTACTCCTTCCCTGTCTCCTGTGCTTTGACAAACTGGATCAGTCAGAACCTCAAGATTGGTAGGATCCTAAGGAGTCAGAGAGGAGTCCAGTCTCCTCTTTGAAATGTTCATTGCTGCTTGTTCTTCCCCCATAGTATTCTTGTCTCTTCTCAAAGGATGTCTTCCTCATGAAATGCCCCTCAGCGAGACCTACCTGTTGCAACCTCACCTATCCATCAAAGCCTAGCTCAGGATATCATCAAGAAGCCACTCTGTGTGGCCTTTTTCTCCATATCCCCCAAGCCTTGGAACCACTCTTGAGGGGAGGGAGCTAATATTTAGTTAGTACCAAAATGTGTAAGGAATAATCTATAACTTATCATCCCAACTCTATGAGGTATCTGCAGTTTGTGGATGAGAAAACTGAAGATCACTGGGATTAAGTAACCCACTCAACTAGAGAGTGGTAGAACTGGAATTCAAATCCTGGTTTGCCTAATAACAAAACTTGTTTTTTTCACTATACCTCATAGACTCATGTTTGGCTCTGTTGTGTGGTTGTCATTTGACTTATTCCACTTGCCATACCTTAATCTCTTGGAGGCAGGGCTGCTTTTCGGACATCTTTTGTTGTTTTTGTTGTTATTATTATTATATTAAGCCAACTATGTCTGACTGACCCTGGGACTCCTGGACTCAAGTGATCCTCCAGCTTCAACCTTCTGGGTAACTGGGAGTACAGGCACGTACCACTGCGCCTGGTTATCTTTGTGTCTCTCTCAGTAGAAATCATAGCAATGTGGTAACATGGATGATGAAACTGAGGTACAGGAAGGTTAAGCCACTGCCCAGGGCCATACAGCTGGTAGAGCAGAACTGAATGTATAGTAAGTATTCACTGAATTAAACTAAAATGAAGTGCACAGTGATTAGGCTGATTCTAGGGTCCTCATTTTTAATCATTCAAATTCAGCCTGAAGAAAGTGGTTTGTACTCTTAGTTCTTCTATAGTATTTAATATTTGGTGACTCTCAGGCTACCTGAGTGGAGTGCATTTTAGTCTGATCTACTCAAGTAACAAATATCTGTTCATATTTTTGTGTTCTCTTGAGAAGGGTGTCTTCCTGGGCTGGACCTTCTCTCCATATTTTCTCAGGATGTAAGTTGCTGACCTTACCTTTTGCTTTCTTTCTGTCCCCTGCCTTAGCCTGTCCAGCTCTCCCCGGGACAAATGTCGAATGGCTCCAGAGCATTTCACTGCACAGAAGATGAAGAAAGCCTATTATCTGACCCAGAAAATTCCTGATCAGGTAGGAGGTTGGTCATCCCCCCAAGTGTCAGCAGAAAGCTTCCCTGGCCAAATATTTAGGACCACAAGGCAAACAGTTTTTCCTCTCTCTAGAGCAGGATTTCCTATCCCAGATCTGTGATACCCTTGATGTGCGGAGATCTGATGTGCATGTATGTCATTTTGGGAGAGAGTTGATGGTTTTTATCATGTTTTCAAGAACTCTTAGCTCTTAGCAAAATGCTGTTCTTGTTGTCCAGTCTGTAGACCTTTACCCTTTGTGTTTCTTTGCCTGGAGGTACAGTGAGACCTCAGGTGGCTTGACATTCTTAGAGCAGAAAAGGGAGCCAGATATAAGAGTGGCAGACAAATCTGTGGTTAAATCTTAGTTGCCAGATCCTGATCTTGACTATATCCAATGAACCACTTAACTTGCGATCCTGTGACTCCTCTGACCCCATACAAGAGGCTCTTCCCCCACAAACTAAGTTCAGTAAATTTAGGAACAGATGAGGTACAGAACTGGCCCACCAGGATGCCTTAGTGGTCCCAAAAGAGTCCCAGAACAGCAGGACTGTACTCCCTGTCCCCTAGTTTCTTAATTCTTTGTCTCTGGCTAGTACTCTCTGTCATACCTTCTCCTTCCCTGTTCCTTGGGCCATAGGACTTCTATGCAACTGTGCTGGATGTCCTGACACCAGATGATGTTCGGATTCTGGTTGAGATGGAAGATGAGTTTTCTCGGCGTGGTCAATTTGAACGAATTTTTCCTTCTCGGATCTCCTCCCGCTATCTCCGCTTTTTTGAGCAGCCACGATATTTCAACATTCTCACTACCCAATGGGAACAGAAATACCATGGCAACAAGCTCAAAGGTAATGTGCCTTCCTTGTCCTCAGGAGGCCATGTTTAGTGAGAGATTAAATCCTTGTAGACCAAGAAATGTGCCTTTCTTGCAAGAAAAATTGACCAATCGATTCCACCCTCTTAAGTCCCAACTCCTGCTAATCTTGTCCTAGGAGTAGATCTGCTTCGGAGTTGGTGCTACAAAGGGTTCCACACAGGAGTTATCTCTGATTCTGCTCCAGTGGTGAGTGGTGCCAGTGTTGGGGGACAGCTCCTTCTCAGGCCTTTCCCTCTTCTGCCTTAGAGTGCAGCAGGAGTTGGGTTGCAGGTACAGACTCTCTCACTTCTCCCCTTGGCCCTGCCTCTGTGTCTCATGACTGTTTTCCTTTCAATGGAAGACTTACCTCCAGGATTCCCTGGGTGCCTTTCTTTCAAAAATCAAAAAGCGCTTTGTAGCCTCTACTTCTTGTCTGATTCAGTAGAGAACTAAGACACTTACCTACATGGGGCCATGCCTTGAAGGGTAGGGAAAGGGAGAAACATGATCACTGAGGGGTAGAACTGGAAAGAGGCACAAGATCCCAGACACTCCTTCCTTGACTCCACTCCCTCCTTGACTTCCTTGGCCCTTTTGGCATCATTGCTTTCTTTGCTTTTAGTGGTCTCTCCCGACATCACTTCTGACTGTCTCAAAGGGTGACATGATGCTCAATGCCTTCAGCAAATTGGAGACTGGCAAGCTAGGGTGAGTGGTGCAGGGACAAGGGAAGGGCTGTTGGTCGTATCTGGGAAGTTTTCTTCCTTCCTCTCTTCTCAGACCGAAAGATCAGCATTCTCCAGCGGGAGGTTGGTGGGACTGTCAGAATATGCAGCTACAATATCCTCTTCCTGGGGGCTCTTGGTATGCCCAGTGAAGCTGAGCTGGAGGACAGAAGTACCTGCTAAAGCGGCCACTTTCAGCCATACCCACTAACTGTAGGAAACCTTAGCTCTCCTATCCCCACCCACATTAACACTTGCACTTAAGTTCTCAAGCTTTCAAATAAATGCGATTTTTTTCATGGTTATTAATATAGCCATATAATTATGGTCTACAACACCCTACTGTAGTAAATGCCTGGTCCAGACTCTGAAGGCAGAGCTTAAGTTAAAGTTTCAACTATACACAGTGTCTCAGCCATTTCTTTCCTTACCTGTTCCTTTCAGAAAACACAGCTCTTCCGAGGGAAGCCTGTTACTTTCTGAAGATGGTACCACACCCAAGCCCAAGAGGACTCAAGCTGGCTTTTCCCCATGCCCCAGGAAACCCAGTCCCTCAAAAGACAGTGAGGACACCAGCAAAGAGCCCACCCACTCTACCCAGACATTTCCTGTAATCAAGTACTCTGGACGGACTTCAAAACTTTCTGCTTCCTCCACTTCCCAGTCAACCAGTGACTCTCTTCTGGCTGTAAGCCCATAATTGGCCTCTCTCCACAAGCCCTACCCAGGAGCACCAGCGTCAGCTACCTCATGGGAACCGGCCTGCTGACCAACCTGAACCTCTATCCCCTCCACTTTGTTCCTCCTCAGAATATTTTTTGAAGTGGTTGTATTGCAGAGATGGGTATTTGTAGGGCTAGGGGGATGGTGGTGATGGGGAGAAGGTGAAGAAGGTTCGTCCTCTGTCACCTGCCTGCCTGGCTGGCACCTCATATCTCAGCAGAGAAGCCAATGATGGTCACACAGCCTTATAAAGCAGGATTTGGTTTCTACCATCAGAGAGCCATGTGTGGTTTGTTTTGGGCCTTGGTGCAGTTGTTGAATTGTAGCTCGAGGAGAAAACATACTAAACAGATTTGGGCTGCGAGTCCTTTGTTCTGTAATTGGTTCTCATTTCCCCAGATTGCTCCTTACCCCTCCCCCAATCCCTGTCCTGAGATGCCACTTTCAGAAACCTTTGAACTTCCTTAGTAGACAGGCAGGAGAGGCCACAACATACTGAATCCATTTCCTGTTATCCTAGTCTTGGGGACTTCACCATCTCCTGTCATATACCTGCCCAGCTAGTAGTTTTGGATCTTCCAATTCTGACTTCACATCACTACTTGTTCAACTTTCTAGACTTCTCTCCCATAGATAATCGCCCCTTTAGTTGTCTTTCAGTGAAATGTGAGAGCTTCTGTGAATTTTGTGAATCTCCCATGGCCCCAGTGAAGGAGCTCAGATAATACCCAGCTGCTGTTATCTATTTCCATGTATCAAAGGGCACAATCCAGAGGGAGGGTGAAAGGAGATATGATTCCCCTACAACACAGAGGAAGTGTCATGTTCTGCCCGACAGCAAGCAGGGACTGGTGGCTTGGCAGGTGGGTTTCAGGAGCAGTCACTATTATAGGATGGGCTTCTAATCAGACCGCTGACTCTTGTACTCAACTGATTCTACCTCCTGTAGACTTGGTAAACAGTGAATGTTCAATAAATGTTGACTGAGTGAACTGTACATACAGAGACCTCAAAGAACACAAGCACTTGAACCAGAAGTTCTACTTCTTTCTCACCTAGGGGAAAGTGGAGCCTGGGAAAAGCGCAAGAGTGGAGAGTTTGAATCAGAAAGGTTTTCACTTTAACTATGCTCCTTCCTAACCCAGCATTTCCCAGATGCTGCCTGCCTCCTCCCCAGCCACTGCAATTCCTTTACTTTTTTTTTCAATAAATTTTTTATTTTAAATATGTGGGGTACAATTCAGGGTTAGGTATACAAATGTTCATTATGTAGGTACCCTTGTTGTTACTTAGTTTTTCTTACTTAGTCCCATGTCTCTTACACAAGTTTTCCTTTTCACGTCAGACAGGAGGCTCAGCTCCTGCATCGCACCCTGGCCTCTAGTTGCCCACATTACTTCTGAGCTTTGGAAAGATAGAGACTCCCCTGCTTTGTGACTCCTGGAGTTCTGTGGCAAGTTGGCATGGAGCCCTGGAAAGATCACTGAGAGGCCTAATTGTATTCAAGGCCACAGAGTAGGTGAATGTCTGGCCGGTCCTAAGGCCATATTGACAGTTATGAGGAAAGCTTACTGGCAAAGTCCTTGGCAGTGCCTGCTGGTTATTAATAGGGACTTTAAAGTTGGGCCACTGTGGTAGAGGTCCTGACCAGTCTTGTTACATTTTGTTACATCCAGTGTAATTGAAGCAAGCCCCCTCTTAGGCTCCTGGCTGCAGTATTCTACTATAGGCATGACAAGAGACGTATGTGGCCTTGCCAAGAGCAAACGAACTGCGTGCTTAGCAGCTTTGCTGCGACTGGTTCTCCTTGAAAACCAACTTTAGTGTTTTGGCCTGCCCTCTGAGAATCTCCATATAACACAGCCAATCCATTTCCATCCCCTTAACTGGAGAGGGGTCCAACATTGCAGCATGCGAGGGAGTGGGGAGAGGCAGGAAGGACTTAGAAAACCAAACGAGCAATGAAAATATATTGATCTTGATGGTTTAAAACATGTTTATGCATATACTTTTAAATTTTTTTCATATTTGAATATCGGATAGCTGTGGATGTTTTGTGGGGTAGGAGAAAGGAATGGGGTTTATGTATCACATTTGCCTTTTACGCTTGAGAAAATTAAATCTTACTTATTAAGCATTCAGCATATGTACTTTAGCACGGAACATTCACAATGTAAGGTATTCAGCTAAATAGGAATTTTTTAGAAGTAATGAGATTTCTTTGGAAGTTTAAGTTTGGGAGTATAACAGAATAAATATTTGTCAGGATATGTCAATTGTGTTCCTATGCTGATAACTTAGGCAGTCTGGAAGGGAAGCAGGTGTTCCTTAGACAAAGAATAAAGTCCAGGCTAGTTCTGGAATAGCGGAGTAAGGACTTGGGGTGGAGAGAGTGGTCACTATTCATGTTTACTTCAAACCCACTCAGAATTGATGAGAAACTCAGTTCCTTAGAAAGAATGCTAATGAGAAGGTGGCATTGTGTCAGGAAAAGATTGGGAACCTTGAAGGCTGACCTTGGATTTAAATTCCATTTCTGCCACTTACTTGGTGACCTCGAGCACATCATCCATTTCATAATATGAATATAATACCTACGTTGTAGGGTTTCTGAAAATTTCAGCCAAATGTAGTGAAATGACTTAGGACATAGAGGGCCCTGATGCACGGTCACTCTTTTCTCCACTAGCTAGCCAAACCCTGTGCCTTGGATAGGCAGAGGAAGAAAAGAAATGTAATACCCTTTTCTGAGGGAAGTGGGGCAACTATGGAGATATTTTAGAAGTGAAGGGGCCAGAATAGGGTTTAGATACCTCATCACTCTCACCTTCACTCCAGTGCACACAGAAACATAACCATCATCATTCATGCTCATATTATCACTTTGCTGGGGATTTATTTCTTTTATTTTGAGTTGGAGTCTCACTCTGTCGCCCCGACTGGAGTGCAGTGGCCGCTCCCGGCCACCACAGCCTCAACCTGCTAGGCTCCGGCGATCCTTCCGCTTCAGCCTTCCAAGTAGCTGGAACTACAGACGTGCACTACCACACCCGGCTAAGTTTTTTTTTCCATTTTTTTATTGTAGAGATGAGGTCTCGCCAAGTTGCCCAGGCGGGTCTCGAACCCGTGGGCTCAGGCAATCCGCTCACCTCGGCTTCCCAAAGCGCTGGGATTATAGGCTGAGCCACCGACCCCGGCCGGGATTTATTTCTTTGGATAAACACTTTGCAGTCAGAATGCAAATTCCCTGGGAAAGCATTAGAAGAAAGTATATTTTTTTTTAGTTGGAGGCTCACTGTTGCCCAGGCTGGAGTGCAGCAGCATGCTCACGGCTATTGCAGCCTCAGCCTGCTGGGCCCAGGCGGTCCTTTTGCCTCAGTCTTCCAAGTAGCTGGAACTACGGGTGCTCTCTACCCTGCCCAGCTAGTTTTTTGAGTTATCGTAGAGACAAGGTCTCACTAGGTTGCCCAGGTTGGTCTTGAACCCCTGGCCTCAGGCAGTCCTCTCGCCTCTGCCTCCCAAAGTGCTGGGATTACAGGCATGAAACACTGTGCCCGACTGAAGGAAGTTAATTCAATGAGATTACAAAGTTATTTCAAGAGAAGTTTTTATAAAAAAGGGGCAACAAGGTAGCTATGTCAGGTGCCTGGAAAGGGGAGAAGCAGGGCACAGAAAATAGAGACCTCATTGGAGCCAGAGCCGAAGAACAGAGGCACAAACGTAACAGCTGTAAGGTTTGTCATTACTGTACATTCTCATGGTATCAGGCTATTTGGCTGAGGGTGACAATCCCCCCCCCGCCCCCATCATCTTAGCCAAAGGACATACCTGGTGGGCTCTGGGGCAATGCAACACCACTGAGGGCCAGTGAAGGAGGCCGATCATTTGGACCCAAAGACCTTTCTGCTTCCTCCTCAAATTAGTTACCCAAGATAGGTGATCGTCAAAGGCAGTAGAGGGATCACGTCTCCTGGCTTCCTCTTGATTTGTCCTCAGGCTAAGGCTTACCTCTGACCACTATTTGAATCCCCCAGCTGCTTTGAGAGTTGGAAACACTGATGGTTTTTAGAGATGTATAGCTAGGAAAGCTCCATTTCATGTCACTTGAGATTCTGATTGAGCCTCTCAGATAACCCTTGGCCTCTTAGGACCCTCACCCCATGTAGCAGAACTCGCACACGCATTAACATCTAGGGATCTATACAGGCTCACTTGACTGGCCCCTCCATCCCGTTTCCATCAATGAAACCCACAGTCTTTTTTGCTCATAGCAGGTTTTTCACATAGGTAAAAGAACACACAAAGGATCAATAGCAGGGTAATTGTTTTCTAAAACCTGTTTGTGCCTTAATTATTATGGAATGCCAGGAACTGCCACAGGAAAAGCTAAATAAAATTTAAAAATACATTTAATCTCTGAGCTTCAATTAGTAAGCTCGTACACAAAAGCCTACCTCATAGGATAGTCGTAGGGATTAAATAGGAAAAAAAAGTAAAGTACTAACAAAGTGCCTGATACATATATGGTACAGATTTAAAAGAGTAGATTTCCTAAAACAGACCGAAAAACGTTTCTTCCTGAAGGTGGTAGTACCTTAGCATGCTGTATAGTATTACAATATTATGGTAAAATATACTTTGGTCCAATCCATGGGAGATTCAAGCTGAGGATTTGATTGAGATAATTAGAAAGATTAGAACTCTTATCATTAGTTATTGGAGAAGAGCAATTTAAACTACAGTGAGATATCATTTACACACTAAAGTGGGTCAAATTTAAAAGACTGAAAATACCAGTTGTCAGTGAGACTGGAGCAACTGGAACTCATACATTGCTGGTGGGAATGCAGAATGGCACATTGGAAAACAAATTGGTAGTTTCTTATCAAATGAAACATTTATTGCATGATGTGGCAGTTTCACTCCTGCAGGCAAATGTTCATAGCAGCTTTATTTGTAGTAGCACAAACTTGAAAACAACCATATACTCAACAGTTAATGAATAAACAAATTGTGATATATCTGTTCAATGGAATACTCTCGGATATAAAAAAGGAGTAAATTGATTCATGCAACAACATGGATGAATCTTAGCACAATACTAGGTGAAAGAAGCCAGGAACAAAAGATTACGTATTTTATGATCCCATAATGTTCCGGAAAAGGCAAACTAGTTATAGAAAGATCAGTGGTTGCCAGGGACTGTAGATATGGGGCGGGAAGTGTGTTGACTGTAAAGGGACATAGTGGAAAACATTCTGTATCTTGGTGGTGGTTACACAACTGTATATAGTTGTTTCAACTCATCTAATTGTGCACTTAGAATTGGTAAGTAGTATGTAAATAAGTAAA